CCTTAATTAAAATCAATCAAATGATAATTTTAGAATATACAGTATATAATTAAATTATTTAATCTTTTAAATTATATTCAATTAAAATGGAGTAATTAGGATATGACATTTTAATTGCATATCAGAAATCTGTGTTAGGTTTGATCAGTGGTACCAACAAAAATTTTGTGATCATATGATATGCAATTATTTACATTTTGATTCATTTTTTACTTTTTATTTGAAAGATGAGAATTATTTTAGGTAAGTATAATGGATATTCATTATATCACCTGATGATAAAATCAAATGTCATTGTGTAACATTTGATATCAATCAATTTAAAGTAATAAAAAAAAGATGCGATTTTTTTTTCATAATCTAATTTATTATTACGCAATTTTTTTTACATTAATGTCATTTGTTCTTTTCTTTATATTTGGGTAAAAATGTGTAATTATATAAAGTATGATTATATAAAGAGATGATTGTATATATAAAACTTTTTTGCAATAATCTGTTAATTTTCATAAATTTAGAAAATCACTGTTCCTATTCTGAATATATATTTTTAATATAAGAATTTAACACTATTTTATGAATTATATATTTTTAACACAAGAATTTAATTAAAACTTATGCAAAATTAAATACATTTAATATTAACATATGCATATAATTTAAATTATAATTTTTAACATAGGAATTTAATGCTATTTCATTAAAACATATGCAATTAAATATTAAAACTGACATCTCTTAAAAAGCTAAAAATATTTATGAATCAATAAAAAATACAAAGTATGTACTGTTAACGTCAGAAATCAACTTTACTACACTGATCATCTGTGATCAATGAAATGACAACGTAATAAGTCTGATAAATACTGTGTCAAATAATCTGCAAAATCCATAGGATTCTTAGGATATTTAGGATTTAATGGATTTGTACGATCATCATAATTAGGGTTTCTCAAAATCAAATTGAATCAAATATTTAAGCAATTTGAATTTGATTTGATTTTTTCAAATTGAATTGAATCGAATCATATTGAACTCCAATATTTAATCAAATCAATTTGAGTTGCTTTGAATTTGATTGAATTAAATTAAATCAAATCAAATATAAATTTTTTTTTAATTTTTATAATAATATATTAAAATAAAATTATTCTAAAGTTTAATTAAGAAAATATTAGTAATTGCACTAAAAAATTTCTCAGATAGTTTTTACAAAGTAAGTTTAGTAACAGGTGAATTTTTACTATTAAACTTAGTAAAATAACTCAGCAGTTCAGTTTTACTAAGAAAACTTAGTAATAACTGCTATTGCTGCTTCAGTTTTACTAAGAAAACTTAGTAATAACCACTTTCGCAGCTTCAGTTTTACTAAAAAAACCAAGTAATAACTACCAATGTGGTTTTAGTTTACTAAAAAACTAAGTAATAACTATTATTGCGATTTTGATTTTACTAAGACAATTTAGTAATAATCACCATTCAGCTTCATAACAATTTTATTAGTAAAAAATGTTTCCAAAGCTGCAGACGCGTTTTTTACTAGGTTTCTTAGTAAAGAATGTTTCTGAAGCTGCAGAGGCATTTTTTACACATCTCTGAAGTAGCAGAGGCATTTTTACTATGTTTTCTTAGTAAAATAACGTCTTCAAAGCTGCAAAAGCATTTTTTACTATGTTTCTTAATAAAAAGGTATTTCTGAAGCTGTGAAAGTGCTTTTTACTATAGTTTTCTTAGTAAGAGCCACTCCTGAAGCTTTGGAGATAGCTTTACTATTGATTCAAATCAAATCAAATATTTGAATACTTGATTTGAATTTGATCAAATCGATCAAATCGAATCAAATATAATTTAGATTTGATCAAATAAATCATTCTTTAATTTGAATTTGATCGAATCAAATCAAATATAAATTTGATTTTGATTTTCAAATCAAATATTCAAATATCAAATCGAATTGCAGAACCTATGATTCATTAAATCTTCCTGATTCCTTGTATTTCTATCATTTTAATTATTATCATTATCTTTATTATTTTTATTATTATTATTATTTCTATTATAATTATTATCTTTATTATTATTATTATTATCATTATATTAGTACTTGTAACTACAAATTTAGTTAGTTTATAGCATAGCAACTAGTTAGCTGTAGAAAATCAATTTTGTATAAATAGAATAGCTTTTTGCTTTAGTTGTAAATTAACTCTATTATAAGTTCTAAAATACTTGTGAATTTCAAATAATAAATAAAGGAATCAACTTTGAAAAATAATTACTTTTTCCTTTTATGTGTGCATCATCTAGGATTTGATCATGAACCACTATACTAACTTGCTTTTGAGTTCGTCACTTAGAATAAACAAATTTTCTACATTTTTTCCTAAGTCCCTTAACCTTTAAGTTTGTAAAGTCAAGTGAAGTAATTCTAAGGTATTCCAGATACCTGTAAGATATGAGATTTCCTAAGGTTATAAAGTCCAATAATAAGGAATTTACTTACTGTAGTAAAATAACTTAGTGAAACACGTGCGATACAAAGAGAATTATTCCTAGTAATAACGTGGTGATTCCTGTTAGGCTAATATAAAGAAAAAAGTATACAGAAATTAAAGTGAATTTAAATACTCTTAAAGAAGATAACTAACTATATGACCTTAGTCACGAATCTGATATTGACCCTAAAAGATTAATAGGCAAAAATATTTTGTGTCAAATTTATTATCCCTTATATATACCTGAACCTGATAACTTTGAAGACTTTCAGTATTGATATAACATTCAATTTGAATTATATAGATACTTTAGATATACCCTTGATCTGTTTAAGATATTAAAACAAGTAACTAAGAAATAACCTGAAGATATTAATCTTGTACGAACTATAACTTTCCAAGTATCTGCATTAATTAGAAGCTTTAGATATAAGAAAGTTGCTAATTTGCCTCCAATTGCTAAATTAATAGTCTTATTAGTAAAAAACAAATTGTGTAGAAAAAGGAAGTGTACCTTTTGCTAAGTAGTCAAATACAACTGTTATAGTCAACAACTATATATTTAATCAAAAATTCAACGTGGATCATTCTGAAGAAACATCTTATCTTCTTTGAATCCTGTAAAAATAAAACTCTTTGATCAGAAAGTAATTACAACTAAGACCCTTCTATTCAATATAAAAGAAGATTATATCAGTCTGCTACTAAAACTACTATTGATTATACTTAAGAAGTTATTGCATTAAGTAGCTCAAGTAAAAACCAACCAATTCAATCAACCTTATCTTTCCCAATTGTTTAACCTAATCCAATTATGGTAGAAAATCCATATGACGAAACAGTTATTCAGGCCAATTTAGAAACTATTCCTGAAATTTCTGAAATATTTAATTCAGACAAAGAAACTGTCACATATACTGAAGCAGACAAAGAATATTTACCAAATGTTAAACATAGAAGATAAACCCTTGCAGACTTTATTATCTTACAAGAAGAAGCTGAATTTCCACCTTTTATTGTTACTAATCTATACTCTGAATCAGAATACTTGCCAACTAATTATTCTCAAGAATTACCTGTTCAATCCTCGAATTTAACTTCTGAACAATCAGAAGAAGCCTCTCAAATAGTTGTAAGAATTCAACCAGAAAAACCCTCTGGAAGCAGTTTATCTAATGATAATACTACTTTAACAATCCTAAGACAAGAAGGATTTCAAGAATCATCATTATCTAACTTATTTAATAATACTGCAATTGGAACTATAAGAAATAGATCTTTCACACTTTTACAAGTGACAACCAGTATTCCAATTACTAAAGAAAAGCAACTAGTTACATATTTTACTCAATTCTCCAAAACTAATATTTTTTCTAGTTATATAATGTCTCGCTTTAGTAGCATATCTGAAGGAAATACTACAGGAATTCCTAGTATTACATTAGAAAGTAATAATCCATCTCAACAACTAGCTGTTACAACAACAGCGAATGTTCAATGGAGTAACGTAACTAATAATCCTAATATAACAGGATTTAATACTATTACTACTACTGTAAGTAGTAGTACTAGAATCAGTTTTGGAATAACAGGAATGGGATTTGGACAACCACAATAAACTCAAACTGCTCAACTGCAACAAAAAGTTTCTCAATTTAATCAATTTGCTCAAGGTGATCATCAAAATAATCAAAATATACAATTAGCTTAGACACTTCAGCAAATTACATTCACCTTACAAATGATGGCTATAAACAACAATAATGCTGGACATGCATAAGTTAATCGTGCAGAACTCAATCTGGTAAAACCAAACTATTTTCATGAATTTGATGATGAGAACCCTTTTGAATGGATCACTTCTTTTAATCGAGCTGCTATTGCAAACCAATGGAATGATAATTGAAAAATAGCCATTGCAGCTGGATATTTGAGAGATGTCGCAACTAAATAGTACAATAAAAATCAAGAAAACTATCAAGGATGACATGCACAAGTAATTCTAATAGCTTTGTTAATGCGTTCTTAAATTATTTTGCAAATGCTACCATAAAAATAGATGGATGTCTGAGTTGGAAATGATTATACAAAACCTTGAACAAAGTGTATCTGATTATGCCCAGAAGTTAAAAATGTTAATGCAATGAGTTGATACCACTGGAGGATTTGGACAACATTATATTATCAGTAAATTTGTCAAAGGATTATCACCCTATTTAATGACTATAATAGTCGGTCACAGTCCTCAAACATTAGATACTGCTATTACAAAAGCAAATAAAATGAAATAGGATTTACTATCGTTCAACCAATCTAGTAACAACAGGTAATGGTGAATCAAATGGAAATCTTGCAATAACAGGTCACACAATTATCAGCGAACCTAGCAAATACACAAGTCCAATCAAATCCAAGATCTAGATGGAATCAACAAAATCAATATCAAAATCATTGCATTACAAGTTTTCAAACTTACCGTATTATTAAATGCTGAAGATGTAGTAAAGAATGATATATTACCAGAGAATGTCAATCAGAGATACCTGTTAAAGCTCAATCATGATTTCAAAATCAAAACTAACATCAAAATCAAAATTACACACCATACCGATCATCTGATAAATCACAATAACGTAATATTAACTTAACTAAAACAGAGCAAACAGAACAAGATGAAGAAGTATATACTATAACAAGAATTCTTCCTAAAACTGAGTCAAGAGAATAACAAAGGATACAAACTTCCCCTCAATCTCCTAAGCTTGCCCCTCAAGCTAGATTTGTTTCACATTATGAACAACCATATAATATCATTCAAGATTTAGGAAGACACAATGCCAATATAACCTTTAGACAATTATTAAGAAATCTTTAATATTTACAAGAATTGAAGGATCAGATTAATAAGGTTGAAAAAGAAATTGGAGTCAATATCACTCAAACTCGTGTTAATGATAACAATAAATATACTGCCATCAAATGTATTATACGATATAAGTTAAATCCTATTAAAGTAATTTTAGACTCAGGAGCTGCTGCCTATATCATTTCAACAACTTTAGCCAACAAACTAAAGATAAAGTCAAATAAATCATTAGATATTTTAGTAGTAACTGCTGACAGATAAAGAAAAAGATCACTAGGAATTATTACCTCAGTTTCTTTAATCTTACAAGGAGTTTAATTCACTGTTACAAGTAATTAAATCACCACAAGACATCCTACTATTAGGAATCAATTAGTTTAAAACCTTTAATGCTAGACTATATTTTGACCATGATGAGCTTTGAGCTAAGATTAAAAACCAAATAGTCAAATCATCAATTAAGTGCATTGAAGAAGTTAAACCATATTTTAGGATCTTAGCTAATACAGCTGAAAGCGAAAAGGAAGAATATGAGGATGAAACTCTCTTTGAGACAGATTTGTTTTAAGTAAACAATACAGCTAATGATGAAGAATCTAGTTCTGATTCAACCATTGATCAGGATGAATTAGAATGCATCGAATGGTCTCATGATGAAGAAAAATTCATTAATCTTTATGCAGCAGATATTGAAGAAGAGGAAACAACAGAACAAATCACTATTAAATCTTTAATTTCTAAAGAAATCACTTCTATTGAAGGGTTGATATTGGACAAACTTCTTATGTAAACTATCAGATATCTCTTAAAGCTGGAGTTAGACCTATTGCCTATCCACCATATTGGTTAAATCAGAAAAGAAAAGATTTTCTGGAAAAAGAGATTGACAAAATGTTGGAAAAAGGAATAATTCAAATGTTTGAAGTTCCTGGGCCTCTCTAGTAGTGATAGTTCTAAAGAAAACAGGAGACTTTAGGATTTGCATTGATTACTGACTATTGAATATAATCACTATTACTGACAGCTATCCAATTTCTAATATGCAAGATCAATTAGAAAATTTCAGAATAACAAAATAATTCACTGCTCTTGATCTAGTTAGTAAATACTAGCAAGTAAAAATGCATCCAGAAGATTAATCAAAAACTGCCTTTATTATACTATCTGGTCTCTATAAATTTAAAATTATGCTTTTTGGATTAAAGAATGCACCTGCAACCTTTTAATGTTTGATGAATTGGGTTATTATAAACTAGTGCAGTGATATGCATTTGGAAGATTGGAAACACCTTTGGAAGGTTTGAAAGCACAATTTATTAATAAAATTATTTGGATTGGAAGCTTCCAATCAAATTTTTTACCATTGGAAGCATAAAATGCATATCACTGCATTAGAGATATTAAACCCGCTGAGTATTTTTCGCATCTGCTTAAGTATAAGGATAGAAGGTTCGCTCGTTATACTCGCTGGCGTTACTTTGCTTTGAATTCGCAGATGCGATGGAGAGCCCTACAAGAAGCTAAGGTATATGTTAAGCAGAATTTGAATGGTAAACAATATACTGTTGAAGAAGTATGAAATATAGTTGAAAATGATAGTCATATGGCTGATAAAATTGTATGTTTTGGAGAAGGTTTGCGTGGATCATGACAATTCTGGAGTAGAAGAAGATTTGAATTAGCAGAAATGATTTGACAATTGGGTTCTCAGGAAATGGTGTTTTTCACTTTTAGTGCTGCTGACCTGCATTGGCCAGAACTACAAGGACTTATGTCACAAGAAGATTCTTCATTGACTAATCGAAAATTGAACACACGTAATAGTCAAAACTTAATAGATAATCCTCATCTTGCAACTTAATTCTTTGAGAAACAGTTTAAATTGTTTATGGAAAAGGTGTTGATCCCTAAATGGAATCTTGATGATTGGTAGTACCATTTTGAGTAGCAGCATCAGGGTAGCACACATGTGCATGGTATAGGTAGAAGAAAAGATGCGCCTAACATTGACTGAAAGAAAATAAAGGAAAATAAAGAAATGATGATTAACGTGGTTAAGTATTTGAATTCATTATCTACCATGATCAATCCTGATCTTAATGCGCCAGTTCCAGATCAACATCCATGCCAGAAATGATATGAAGAGTTGCATGATGACCTACAAGATTATACTGAATTAGTTAATAAATTATAACGTTATACACGATGCAATGCATCATATTGTCTTCGTGTAAATTGCTCAGGTCAACAATGTTGCAGATTTGGTTTTCCTAAAGAAATTATACAAAATACGTGCTTACATGATGTCAATGGACATTCTGAGTTAATAACTGCAAGAAATGATCCGTACGTAAATCCTTACGATCAGTTGCAGCTTCAAGGATAGTGGGCCAATGTCGATTTAAAACTGATTCTAAGTATGAATACAGCCCTATAGTACATATCTAAGTACACAACCAAATCGGAACAGCGTTCTGAGACTTTCTCAGATATATTAACAAGGATACTGAATAATAGTAATCCTGATGCTTCGTCTCTGTCAGTATTTCAAGATCTATTACTCAATACTGTTACAGAGCGAGATATTTCTGCGCAAGAAATGTGTCATCTCCTTCTTAGCCTTCCCCTTTATCATTCAAGTTGTCAGTTTGTATCCTTGAACCTCAACAAACAAACTCTGCATTAGCTTTGTGGATCTGAAAATAAAAATGATAGATCATTTTCATTAAATGCTAAAGTTGGCCTAACTGTGCAATTGTCTTTGCAGAAGTATTGAGATCAACTTATTGAATTTGAGAACATTACTCTTTTTCAACTTTACCTAAGATATAACTTTTGGAGAGGTCAGTGGAAACCATGCAAACGAGCAAACATTATCAGAATTTGGCCACGTCCTTCACCTCAATTAACGGTCCTCAATGGGATAAATTTTGTCATGTGAAGGTGCTTCTTCATGTTAGCCATCGCAATCTTCAAGAATTTACTGAAGATGGTGATGACCCCCCATGGTCAGATCTCTTTAATCAGTATCGTGCAATGATTGAATCAGAGCGTACTGACTTGCTTGATTCACCTGTGGTTAACCTGGATGAAGAATCAGATGATGATGAAGAAAGTGATACAGATTCAGAAGATCTTGGTAATGAAGATCAATTACGTTCTGATTGGATGATTCTGTAAGAAATGACACCAAATGCAACAATCAATATGTCTTCGAATTTGGGTTTACGTGATATCGATCAAAATTTCGACTAGTTTAATGATGTTAGACGTCGTTATCCAGATCTTGATCTTTCTGCTACATCTGATTTTATAAAGAAAGCATATAATATAGGACTTGATGATGATAAATGTTTGGATATATGTGTTGTAGACTATCAAATGTTAAATCTTAAACAGTTAACGATATTCCAACGAATTGAATCTCATTATGTTAATTTACTTACAAATCCTGGTCAACTTAAGCTGCTTGGAATTATCATAATGGATACTTCTGGAACGGGCAAGTCATTTTTGATTAAAATGATTCGAAATTGACTTCATGAAATTGCTATAAATTGTGATATTAATAATTGATCACCAGTGCTTGTGCTTGCGCCAACTGGTGTACCTGCATTTAATATTCATAGCATAACAATCCATTCAGCTCTTTCAATTCCAGTTTCCAAAAATGATGATTTTGAATTGACCGGTGAAAGACTAAAAAAATTACAAAAGAATTTAGATAGGGTGAGATATTTTATTATAGATGAAAAGAGCATGGTCAGACGTCGTATACTTGCCTTAATCGACTTATGACTACGATAGGCCTTTCCAAAGTAACAAAATCAAATATTTGGTGGTTATTCAGTGATTTTAGTTGGTGATTTTAGGCAACTTCCTCCCGTTCTTGACGAACATATGTATTTACAAAACCCTCGATGAGATTCATTATCATCTGATGGTATTTCTGTGTATAAATATTTTCGTGAGGTCTATAAGCTTGACGTTGTTCAATGACAATTGGGAGATTCAGAAGATCAATGCAATTTCAGAGCCTTGCTGTTGCGGTTGCATGACGGTAAATTAACAATAGATGACTGGAAATTACTTGCAATACGATTTAATAATACATCGACTGTATCACTTGTAGAATAATCCAGTTTTCAGATGCATCATGTGTCTTACCTCAGAAGGCTGATGTTGCTGAGTACAACAATGATAAGCTTAAATCTTTGAAATGTCCTATCGCTAGGATTGTTGCTATTCATACCGGTGGGAGTGAAGCTCGTAAAGCTGATTCAAATGTGGTGAAGGGTCTTGAATCGCAGTTGTTATTGGCAAAAGGTGCGAGGGTTATGCTTAGAGTTAACTTATGAACAGAAGTAGGGTTAGTCAATAGTTCAATAGGAACGATCCTAGACATTGTCTTTGAAAAAGGTCAGG